AGTCAACCCTGAGCCGGTGAGATTTGAACAGCCGAACTGCAGAACTGCAGTCAGCTGAAGTAGCCTACAGTGCTGCATTTAACCACTGCGCCACCACTGCGGCAACAAAGCGGTGCCTATTTCAACGATGAGCTCTAGTGCCCTTTCTGATTCAACAAAGCCAAAAGCTGTCATTCCGTGATGTCAAACGGACCACCTCCCTTTTGCCAGGCCACGGGAAAAAGTGGGTCACAGTAACAGATAAAAACCTTGACAGACAGAAACAAGGATATACTTGGCACAGAGGTGTGAACTCTAGGGAGCACAAGGCATGAAGAGCGCACAAATCGGAATGGAAAAAAAAAACCACACACAGGAGAGGTGATAAAGAGGGCAATCGCGCATTTACACGGACAAGAGGAAATCCTAGGATTGCACAGGCCGTTGCTGAAGGTGGAAAAGTGAGAAACAATGGATGACCCTCTGGGTTTCTGGCAAAGTGCAAGAGAAGACTTCCCTGCCCACCTCTCATACAAAGGAGCAACAGAGACAGCAACCAGGGGGATGAGGGGAGTGGGGGCATTCACAGCAGGAACTTCTATCTGGGTCCCTAAAAGGAAAGCTGTCTCACTCCAAGATCATATACAACCAGAGCCCATCAAATCCATACCACTTTTAATAGAATAAAAGGAGGAAAATATAGGGAAAATGCTTAAATTGAATCAAAGTCACTTTCTGTCCTGGGCCCCATATATTAGCGTGCCCTCCCCAACACCCAGCTTGGCTAAGTGCAAATGAAAATGCATGTCACTTGATCTACGCCCAAGTCAAAAAAATCTGGACAGAACCTGCACATTGTTTCCCTCTAAACTCTGCACGTGGAAGCACAATTACCGGCCTTTTGCTCAGCAAAAAAGGTGTCCAGGTGAGACACGCCTGCACTTCCCATGCCACAAATCTAGCAGGATGTGCAATAATAGAACTTGCTAGAGTGGATTTTTATCAGATTCTGGCACAATTTGGCAGGAATGAGATAAAACAAGCTGGTTTTACTTCTAAGAAACACCGGACCCTCCCAGCCAAGTTTGTTTCCAGGAATGCTAATCTTCTGAATCAGGAAGGTGCAAAATCAACAAATAACTCACACCTTCTTCTAGATCAGTCTTGGTTTGGCCTTAGGTACCCCTCCTTATTTTTGAAATGAGTGGCCCTGGCACCAGGGTACCTCCCGCTGTTTGAAACCCGAGTGGTAGTTGTGGCCTTCCGTGACCCGTCAAAACCGCGCTTGACTAAGCCGCGCCCGATTAAACCGCGTCGCTGACGTCATCAATAGGGCGACAACAGCCAGTGCGGAGAAAGAAGGGCGCTTTAAATAGTGCTTTGAAAGCAAGCCGATTCAACTTAAGGTAAGGGTTGGCTTTAAGGTTAGCTTTAGGGTTAGGTTAAGGGTTAGGTTAAGGGTTAGGTTAAGGGTTAGGGTTAGGTTAAAGGTTAGGTTTAGGATTAGGTCTAGGGGTTAATTTTAGGTTTAGGGTTAGGGTTAGGTTAAAGGTTAGGTTTAGGATTAGGTCTAGGGGTTAATTTTAGGTTTAGGGTTTACAGCGTGCTTCTGTCTCCGCGCTGTT